CACAGAATCTGAAGCAGGCTCTATGTTCTGAGCTGTCATCACAGAGCCCGAAGGGGGGCTCAAACTCACTAACCATGATTTCATTACCTGAGTTGAAGTGGAATGCTCAACGAACTGAGCCACCTAGGCACCCATGTAAGTGTATTTTAAAATTGATAATTTTAAGTAGGAAAAGAAACAAAACTTAAAGTCATTTATTCAGAAAGTAATTTCAAATACTTGATGGCTCAGAGCCTGGAGCCTGCTTCAGATCCTGTGTCTCCCTCTCTCTCTTCCCCTCTCCCTCTTGAGCTAAATCTCTCTCTCTCAAAAATAAATAAACATTAAAAATTTTTTAAAAAATAAAATAAAGTGAGACAAATGACCCTTCCTTTCACTTGAACACATACAGGCCATGTTAGGGTTATTGATGGGCCTAATTTAAATACTGTGTCCTGGGGGAAGAGGGAGGTACAAGTAAAGGGGGAGACATTGGGAGTGGTCATTCAGTGGAGCTGTCAGAACACACGCAACATTTATTGATTAAGTTTGCTATCTTATATGTGGCTCCTCAAAATAATTACAGCAGTAACATCAAAGTTCACTGATCACACATCACCATTACAAATATAATAATAATGAAAAAAATTACCAAAATGAGACAGAGACATGAAATGACCAAATGTTTTTGGAAAAAAATGGCACTGATTGACTTGTTCAACACAATGTTGCCACAAATCTTCAATTTGTAAAAAATTCAGTATCTGTGAAATGCAGTAAAGCAGAGTGCAATACAATGAGTTATGCCTGTATAAAACAATTACACTTATGGCATTTTCAACATCTGAGATAATATAAATAGTTTTGAGCATGTTGAGAATTTTTACTACTGTCTCAATATTAAACATACTTAATAAGAGAAACTAATGTGTTTTTTTTTAATTAAAGTTTTTTTAAATGTTTTATTTATTTCTGAGAGACAGAGAGAGAGCAAGACAGCGTGAGGAGGGGAGGGCCAGGGAGAGAGTGAGACACAGAATCCAAAGCAGGCTCCAGGCTCTGAGCTAACCATCAGCACGTAGCCTGATGTGGGGTTTGAACCTACAAACTGTGTGATCATGACCTGAGCCAAAGTTGGACGTTTAATCGACTGAGCCACCCAGGTGCCCTCCAATGTGAGTTTTTAAATGTATCTTAAAGCTGCTCTTTAAGAAAAATTCATCACAATTTATATATACCAATGATTCTCAAATGTGCCCTTTTGTTAAAAATACAAATTATTGAGTCCACATGAAACTTATTAATTAGAATCCTGAGATGGGGCCCAGCAATCTATCCTAACAAACCAAATGATACTGATGCACCTAAAGAAACAGATATTCATAAAATCCTTAGCATGGTATCTTGAACATTTAAATGCTCAAATCTTCCTATTTCCAATATTATTTTACTAATTGTATTTAAAATATGTGAATACCAATTTTGAACAATTCTATCGACTTGAATTATTTGTTAATATTTATGTATTCTTGGGTGTGTCTTGAATTTCTATTTTGACGCTTTGATTGGAATATGCACAAGCATTATTATTAGACTGATTTTAATATTAATTATTTGTATTATGTTGTATTGCCTTAGAGTGAAAATCTTATTATCTTTTATCACTTATGACTAACACAATGGTTTTTACTTTGTTTCGTTTGGTTTTTAAACTTTCCATATACTAGGCATCGTACTAGATTCTGAAAATACAGCAATGAAAAGTACAGTGTCTGTATTCACAGTGCTTTTATTACAGTGAGAGAGACAGATGGTGTGATTTCAATGATGAAAATAGAAATTTAGTGATTATCTCCTGCTCTTTAAGTGAGATGTATGTAAGAATTTTGTCACTCACTTTTCTACGAGTCTTTTTTAGAATCTCTCAAATATTTGCTACTTTAGATGATGACATAGTTTAAAGGGAAATGAGCAAGAGAAAAGGTGCTAATCTTCACAGTCTAGAAAAGAAAAGAAAGGCAATACCCTGCCCACTCTTGCTCCTCTGTTTCCTGGTTCCACTTGCTCACTCTCTATGGTTGATTCTGTGATTGGCATTGGGATGGCTACTTTTCCATATCAACCTGGCTTGCCCATTATCCCCAGATATTTGAATAAACGTTATCCTGGATGCTCTATGGGGGTGTTTAGGGATGAGACTTATATTTATCAGTTCACTGTGAGTAAAGCGTGTTGTTCTCCATAATATGGTGGACCTTTCCAAACAGGGGAAGACCTGAATAGACTAGACGATAAGCAAGAGGAAATTCTGCCAGTAGACTGGCTTTGGACAGGAACTGCAACTCTTTCCTGAGTATCCCAAATGTTGACCTCCCCATCAGATTTTGGACTTGTCAACTCCACACAATCATATGAGCCAATTGCTTAAAATAAATCTCTTCCTATACGTACACATATTCCCTGTTGGTTCTGTTTCTCTGGAATCCCCAATCATGCTATGATTGTGAAGGTATATATTTGTACACCTTGAGAGCTTAAGTGAATGTTCTGATATCATTTGGAATATATGCAGGAACTACTTGATGACCAAAGTTTACTTTCTCCAAAATTGTGAGTCCACCTGAAAATGCTTGTGGGTTTTGTGCTGTGCTTTTCTATGAATGTCAGTATCCAACTTCAAAGTTGGAGTTGGGATAATGAGTTTGACATGTATATATATATATATGTATATGTATATATATGTATATATGTGTGTATATATATATATATATATACACAGAGAGAGAGAGAGAGAACATTTTCACAGCATGAGGCACATAATTTATTGAGCTTCATGCTATCTATGCCCAAAGTCAGTTTCATATTATGTATGAAACAATAATAGCTAAAATTAAATGCATTCATTTCACCATATTTATCTGCTTTTTATACTGTTATTGAAGCTGAAGTAAAAAAAAATGAACACAAACAACATGGTCTTTGTCTCATAAATCATAGTATAGTGGAAGACATGGCAAAGAATACATAAGCATTAAATAATTTTTAATTGTGATCATTGGGATATTGAATTTCAACTGAAATTAAAGAATATAAGAGAGGAAAGAAATCAGAGGACAGTTCTCTGGGAAGGTAATATTTAACCTGAGCACTGAGAAGTGCAAAGAAATCAATTTTACAAATGACTGGGGCAATATTGACAGAAATCAAGAGAATAATAGCATGGGCAAAAGCCCTGAGACAAGATGGAACTCAGATACTAAAAAAAAAATGTCATTGTGACTTTAAAGATTAGATTATTCTTTTGTTGTTGTTGTTTTTATTTATTTTTGTGAGACAGTGAGTATGAGTTGTGGAGGCACAGAGAGAGAAGGGGACAGAGGATCCAAAGTGGAATCAGCACTGACAGCAGCAAACTCAATGCAGGGCTTCAACTCACAAACTGAGATCATGACCAGAGCCGAGGTCTGATGCTTAACCCACTGAGTCACCCAGGTGCCCCAAGACTAGATCATTCTTTAAGTCACTTTTAATCCTCCAAGGGCAACACTTCAACCAAACTTGCAAGCTACTCAACCCTTTGTATGCATGTATGCATGCATACGTGTGTGTATATGCACATATACACATGTGCATGTATGCATGTGTGTGTGTACGTAATTGTGCATGTATGTGTGTGTATGCATGCATGTATGTGTATATGTATCAAAATAAAGTCTCAGAATTGTAAGTTACCTTTTTAAGATCTCATAACTCATAAATGTGAAGAGATGGATTTGAATTTACCTGTTAGGTGTCAAAACAGTTCCTACTTCACCACTAACCTAACTTTTCTGTCTGGCATTGAGATTCATTATTTTCTTTAGCCTACACTTCTATTCACTTCTCAGTGTACCTTATAAAGACAGAAATGTGCTTTTGATGACTCGAGTAGCCTCTTAGCCTCTAAATTCAATTTTTGTTTTCTCATATCTAATATTTTACTCATTACTTTCCTTTTTCTTTTTTTATTTCTAAAATGTATCCAATCTCCACTTCCTAGTTTTATTTTTATCTAATTAGCTATTAAGTCCAGCTAAAAAGAATCATGTTATCCTCTTAACTCTTACAGCTAATATCTATAACACTTAGTTATAGATATAACTAATATAGATATAACTAATCAAGCATTATCTTTTATTCAATATTTGACTTGCTATTTCTTGTTATTTATATATTCATGTATTTAAGCTTAAACCATTTCAAACCACCCTAAATTTGACATCAAGAGTGCCAAATCCCAAAATATTTGGTTGGTAATTTTAAAATTTATTTTGCCCAGTGGGAAAAGTATCTCTGGAAAAAAATTCATTAATATTTTCCAAATTATTTGCTGCTATCATTGCAGAAAGGGTTTTTTGCATTCACTCAAAAAACAAATGCAAGTATTTGAAATCAATTAATGGCAGAGGTTATTGTTATTTGACATTGATTTGATATTGACAATGACATTGTCATTGAATTATGTCTCCAGAAAGATTTAAAAGGTCTAGTCCCCTGTACCTACGAATGTGACCTTATTTGGAAATATAATATTTGCAGATGATCCAGTTAAGTTAAAGTTCTTAGGATGGACTCTAATCCAATATGATTGCTGACCTCATAAAAAAGGAAACGCTGTCAACAAGGAAGAAGCTACTAGGAGCTAGGAGAGACACGCACCTTCTGCCTTTACAGGCCACAGAGGAAAGCAATCTTGCTGACACCTTGATCTCAAACTCCTGGCCACCTACATCCAGGACATGGCTCTTTGTTGCGGCATCCCTCCCAAACTAACAGTTGTTTGGTACAATATTCAATAAATTGACTCAAATCTCCTAGATTTAAAAATGTCTCTTTTTTTACAAAGACAAAGTAAACAATTTTTAATGTATCCTTGTTTCAAATTATAAAGACAGAAACTGGAACTAAAAACATTCTCCTGGGTGCTTACAATTCAGGCATGGTTACAATGTGACAATGTATGCTCTCTACTGCGTATTTACCTTCTAATTGCTTGCCACAGCAGACCTGGGACGGTCCATAAAATCGAAGTTGAACTCTTTCCAACCTCTGTTTTTTTGAAAAACAAAAACAAAACCGATAAACCAAGGTTAACTTAAAATTTAAGTAAATTATATTTAACAACACAGTACTCATTGACCTAGTTAATTGTCTCCATTACGTGTGGTTAACCCTCGATAACAGTGAGAAAGCTAATAATTACAACAAAAGACACATTACAATAGTTTATTTTTTGTCTTTAATCGTCTCTCAGCATACTGATTAACTCATCCCCGACCTAGTGTTCTTCCAGAGGTGAGATAAATCTTATTTAGAACCTGCTATCACTGCACTGTGCTACCGTGTCTTTCTGCTTATGCTATCTGCTGGCTTTTCTTTGATGGGAGGCGCTTCAGAGCCTTGTATGCAGCTAGGCATATTAGGTATAAAAGCTTTTAATCACACTAATTCCTCTAACTGTTCCTAATCTATATCTAAGTCTCTCATCTGTTCCTATTCTGACACAGCTGCTGCTGTATGAAAAAAAAAAAGAAAAAAAAAAAAGAAAAGAAGTAAGAAGGTTTTTACATTCTAACTTGAGCTGAACTGAAATCAGAATTTAACTGCCATGGTCATTGCCTTTTCCTTTCCATGGCGATGCTCCTATGACCATAGGCGGTACTCACATGTCTGTGATTAGAGGTACATCATAGAGGGGTGTCTGGGTGGCTCAGTCGGTTAAGCGTCCGACTTCGGCTCAGGTCATGATCCCATGGTTCATGGGTTTGAGCCCTGTGTCAGGCTCTGTGCTGACAGCTAGCTCAGAGCCTGGAGTCTGCTTCAGATTCTGTGTCTCCCTACCTCTCTGACCCTCCCCTGCTCTCTCTCTCTCTCAGAAATAAATAAAAAACATTTCCCTCCCCCTACAAAGTCTTTAAGCAGCTTTAAAATCAGTTGCAAACAATAGGAAAAAATTGACAATAGATGTTTATTTTTTGCCATTTAAAACCCTTCCTTTTATTTCTGAAGATTTAAAATAATTTTGGAACTAAAGAAATATTAAAAGACTACTTTTTTGGGGGTGTCTTTGTGATCTTTCCTTACTAAATTCTCAAATTCCTTTTCTATCTATTTTCCAATTTCTTTTTTTCCTTCATAATTTGAGGTACTCACTTTCTCCTCTATATTCTATCTACTTACTTTTAAGAAATATCTTGCTATTTACCCATGAATTAATGTAGTCCTTTCAAATGTATAAAGCACATTGATATATTTATTTAACTGCTATTGGAAAAAAATAAACTTCATAGTTAATAAAAAATGGGTCTTGGAACTATAACAATTAATGGGAAGGTGGATCAATAAATTATTAAAATCTAGTGACTTTATAACCACATGTTAGGAAATTTCTATGATTAAAGATAAATATTGCATTTCTAAATTTTGAGAAAGAGAATAAGGGGGGATTTGCCAGAAACATATATTATTTAGGAAAATAGAAAGACAAAAAAATTATAGAGAAGTAAATCAACTAAATCTTCCTGGGAAGAAGAGAGATTAAGAGAGAAAGATAATGTGACAGTGAATGAAAGACAGACTATAGAAATTGAAACAAATTTAAATAAATGCAGAGAGCAATGTGCGATGCTTTGTATTCTTTTAAGCACTACAATAACGGGAGATTTAAACAAAATAGCAATTCAAAGTTTAGGGAAGTCTTTTGTTTTTTGTGATAGTGTATATTTCAGTCAAGTTGGATAAAAACTCAAATTGAAGAAATTACCTTAATGGGAAAAATGCGAGTAGGAAGAAGTTGATGAGAAGTTTGTACCACAGACAATGAGGTCAAAATGTGGAATATTTTTATCTTTAAAAAAAGAAAACATTATTTTGAGTCTGTGGGCCTGAGAGACCTCTGGTAACCCAAAACCTATAGATTTTTCCATCAACCCTAGTCATATCTGTGTGAGATATAGCATGACACTGTTTTTCTCTGTTACCTCACCTAATTTGTCATCAGTACAGCAGCAGAGAAGTCCAGGGACTTGAGGATAAAGTCCAGTCTGTTCTAGTTCCAAATGCAAGTTGCTCTAGGATCAATGCAAGCAGGTTTTCTATTACCTGAATTTCTGTCCCTGATTTTAGCATTAGGTACATTATTAAAATCAGTCTAAATGTGTTGAAGACCTAATATAGAGTTAACTTAATAAAACAAAGTTTAGATTAATTAGGGTTCCTCATTTTACTGATTATAAATGAATTCCTTTATCTTCTTCTCTGCTTGCCTCCTTTTTTTCAAATTTTCTATTGAGTTTTAAATTTTTTGATGAAATACTAAATAGGTAATAAAAAATGGATTTTAAAGTACCCAGGTGGCAAGCAATATTCCTACCAATTACCTTTTTGTATAGAATCCTTTTATGTTTTAAAAAACAGCAATAAATTACCTTAAATTGACTTCAATGTTTATGGTTTCTTCTGTGGAAATTCAAAATTACATATCTGGAAGACCTGTGCAAATATTCATTTAGATTTAATGATGCACATTAAGGCATATCAATAGACCTTTTTTTCCCTAAAAATACTAAATAGCTATCATTAAATATTTTAAAATTTTTGCTAGGAAAAACTCACTTATTTCTTGAGTGTCATGGGGCACAAAAGATCTTTTAGATAAATATAATAAAGAATATACTTTATTATGCATAAGATTTTAAAGTAATTAATATATTTTTCAAATAATTGCTTTAGCTATGCTATCCAGAATGAGTCATGTTCAACACTATTGAGAAAAGTCATGTAATAGCTAGTAAACTGTAGTGTATGATCTCCAGAACACTACTACATTTTAAGTTTTTAATTTCATGTTGAAATCTAAATGGGCTTTCAAACAATACAACATTATACATAGTAGTAGATAAAAATAGCTATAGTTAAACTGTGAAACATTTTTGCTATAAATGATTTAATATATTCTTATTGGAAATTCCTGAAGTTAGAAAGTAAGAGAAATTGACTTGAAAATTTTAAGTTTATGATCTTGTTATTTAAAAATTATCCTTATCTAATTCAGAGAGCTACATTTTCAACAGAAAGTGGGCTATCCATAGAGAATGGCATAATGGCTCACTCCATTTTTCCCTTATTCCACATAATCAAAGAAAATAAAATATAGTTTTATAAAAATGACAGGATGTCTGGATGGTTCAGTCGGTGAATGTCTGACTTCAGCTCAAATCATGATCTCACTGCTTGTGGGATTTCACCACTTGTGGGTTTGAGCCTTATATCAGGCTCTGTGTTGACAGCTCAAAGCCTGGAGCCTGCTTTCGATTCTGTGTCTCCCTCTCTCTCTGTCACTCCCCTGCTCAAGTTCTGTGTCTCTCTCCCAAAAATACAGAAATAAATAAATAATAATGATAATAATTTTAAAAATGAGAAAAATAATAAGGGTTGTAAATATCTGATTAAAAAGAGGCATGGATTACATACCCTTACCAATATTCTTTAACATATATTTCTGCTAATTTATTCTTTAAACAAATATGGACAGTGTAAAGATCAGTATTATAAAAGGTTTACAGTTCTAATGGTCTTAAAAATCCAAAACAAAACAGTTAGGAGTTAACCTTTTAAAAGGTAGTTAAAACATAATTAACAAGTAATTAATATGATGAGTTTCCAAAAACATGATATTACTTTTGCTGTCAAAATAGAGTAGCAATAACAAACATATCCTTCCTGAAAAATAGCAAGTTAAGCTGTGTAGTATCTAGGACTCTGCCACATAAAAATAAATTATTTGAAATACACTGAAATTTTTCACTTGGACACTGTCTTTTTTTAAAATTTTTATTTATTTTTAAATTTTACATCCAAGTTAGCTAGCATATAGTGCAATGATGATTTCAGGAGTAGATTCCTTAATGCCCCTTACCCTTTTAACTTGGACACCATCTTTTATTTATTAAACAAAATCTTTTTCTATGTAGGAGAAAGCTGGTGTACAATGATAGATATTTGAAAGTCATAGTTTTACAGTTTCTTCCTCAAACTTAAAAAAAATTAATGTTCTTTTAACCATAAAGAATAGAGATAGTTCCAAATTCCATGATGAGGTGGATTGATAACTTTTACTGGAAGCATTTTGTCTGAAACTAGGTGATTAGTTCTTGTGTATGTTCTGGTTGAAAGTTAATCATTGTAAGCAATTTTACTTGTGTGATGGTCATTCTAAGATCTGCTGAATGGTTAATTGAATATGACATAAATTTTGCTTAGATGCCTGACTAAACTTCAACATAAGAATGATGGACGATAAATGCATTAACATAGGAAAATATCAACAAATATAACATTGATTATTTTAGAGAGTCTAGAAAAATCAAATGTAATATAGCCTGAAAACCCCAAGTAAATTGCTTTCAAATAACATCTCAGAAATGATTTATTAACAAAAGAAACCATTTACTCTTTAGAAAAATTGGCCAAACCAGAGAAGCAGCTCTTAATTGGTCAGTATATTCTTTTCCCAAAAATGACTTCATGTGGGCTAGTTCTGATTCCTAAGTTGTCCCTCTTGCTTATAAAGAGAACTTAGGAAGTTACACTTTAGATATAAAGTTGAGAGTAAAACATAATACTAAAGAGCATATACAGGGGCGCCTGGGTGGCTCAGTCAGTTAAGCGTCCCACTTTGGCTCAGGTCATGATCTCACAGTTCGTGGGTTTGAGCCCCGTGTTGGGTTCTGTGCTGACAGCTAGGTCAGAGCCTGGAGCCCTCAGAGCCTGGAGCCTGCTTTGGATTCTGTATCTCCCTCTCTCTCTAACTCTCCCCTGCTCACCCTGCCTCTCCCTCTCTCTCAAAAATAAATAAAACATTTAAAAAAAAAAAAAGAGCATATACATTTGCTGCACGTTTTAGAAAGTTAAAAAAAATTGGTGACAGGCAATCTAAAAGTCTTACCCTTTGGGGTATATAGTGATACGCTGGGGAGTGTGAAGGAGGTAACATGTGGAGAGAAAATTATGACTGCCTTTCAACTTAATGGACTGATTTCCATAGATATTATTGCCACAATCACTAGAAACAAACTTATTTATGAATGTGTTGTCTTGTTATTACTCTTTTTAAATTTAGAAGAAAGTAACATAAAATTATCATTGGCAAGTAGCCGAGAAGGAAGCATATTTTTATTTCTGGCTTCCACATTAAATAAATAAATAAATAAATAAATAAACTCAAAGTAACTTTAGAAGAATTATTGTTCAATTTAGTCATTTCATTGTCCTTAAGATGTTTCTGGTCACCTTGTAAAGTTTATGTATATGACTTCCAGTTTCATTAATTTTAACATTACATTTGTTTTACTTACATTTTAATTTTGTGCTGTTTTCTTTTTATTTTTTTATCCTGAACCTTCTTCTTTCATTTTTATATAATCAGAGTTTATAAAATTAACAAGAATAACAGACTCTTTAGGAGGCTTAATTTACTTTTCTAAAGTCAATCTCTTTGAAACTTGTAGACTTAGGGATGTACATTCTCTTTTTATCAATGATAAACATAGCAAAAACATAGACAAACAAGGGCTCTCTGAGACTGATACTGGGTAAACAGGACAGAGATGGAGAAAAGTAAATTTGAACAGAAAATAAATACATGTTATCAATAGATATTTATCAAAGATGCTTAGGATAAAATCAGTCATCAGCTCAATAAGAAAATCCAGTAACTTTATGATCATGACTTCGTATTTATTTGAACCTCAGTATCTGGCATGTAATTGAAGTCAATTGCATACTGACCTCATTCCGTTTAGTTTACTATTGTTTGAAGAATGCCATTTGCAAATGCTTAGAATATCTTGTCATATTAGTTTACCATGGATCACATACTTACCTAAAATCATCTCAGATACCTTCGTGCTTGTCAGTATCACTAGGACAGGTCATCTTTCAAAGACTGAAAATCATCATCATTTCCTTTCCTCAAGGCAGCAGCAAAGAGAAAGCCATATTGTATGAATGCTTTAAGTTATTATACTTTTACTGCTGTCACTTGCTATTCTAGAGAACTAGAAAGACACCAGTTCCTCTTTGGGAGTGGTGCTCACAGGGACACTGTGAACTTGTTCTCAGTGTTCTGATATCAGGGCTTTATTCCAGATGATCTGCAGTTCCAAGGATGGCCTTGATGCCACAAATTGTCAACTAAATTGTCAATTTAGTTCATTCACCCCATTTAATTACCAAACAATTAGTAGACTGGGGCTACCATATTATACAATATTAAAGATAAACTGAATTAATATAGTTTATCACCCACATTTTCCACACCTGACATAATCCCATTAAAACAACTTTATTTGTATGTAAATTTTAAAGCTCATTGTCACCTAAATGGACATTAACTGAACTTTTTTTTAAAAATTCATTTTAGAGAAAGAGTGTGAGCAGGAGAGAAGGGCAAAGGAAGAAAGAGATCTCAAGCAGGCTCCATGCCTAAGGCAGAGCCCACTGTGGGCCTGGATCTCAGGGTATTGGGGCTGGATCCTACAACCCTGAGATCATGGCCTGAGCTGAAATCAAGAGTGGGACGCTCAACTGACTGGCCACCCAGGTGCCCCTATCTGAACTTTTTAAAGACCCTCAAGGCTTGTTGCTAGGACCTAGTCACAATCTAAATTCTTCCCCTGGATTATGGTTCTATATGTAGTGTAGATTCTTTAGTCTATAAACCATCGTTTTTTACATATTCAGGAAAAAGTTTTCCTCATCAGTCCAGACTTGTATATTACACTGCCTATTTATCATTGCCTATTTGATAACTCTTAGTCATATAAACATAACATACT